ATTTAGAGCCGCCAAATACTCTAAACGCGTGTTTCTAAATGTGGGGAAAACCGATGGACCCGGAGAAAAAAATAACCCGTAAAAACAAAGTTTTCACTATAAATCCTTTATATGCGTGGCGGCTAGAGTCCTCTCGTCCTCTGGCTTGAGATGGCTGCCACCTATGGGTCAGATGATTGTCTGCCAGCATTAAGCAATTGGTAATAAAAAAAAAAAAATTTCCCTAAACAGTGTAAAATTTTGGAAAAAAATTTTCACGAAAATTAATTGTCACGCACAACGAGTCTGTGGAAAATGTCAGCTCGATTGGATCACGGGAAGTGTGTTAAAAAAACGACCGAAAGATTTGCACGGTCGTAAGCAAGCAAGCACGCAAGCAAGCAAGTGAACTTAATATAAAGGATTTAAAAATCCACACGACCACGGAGAGAACATGCAAACTCCAAATATACAGCAGGCGTCAGGGTCTGGATTAAACCCACGACCTCCTGCATATTAGGCGAGGTAGTTAACATCTCGCCACCGTGGCGCCCCTTACCTGTCACACCGCTGCCTCCTCATATCCGTACAATGACCGTCTTCCCCTGAGAAGAAACCCCTGTGCTGTCGTGTCCCTCAAGCCTCCATGCCTGGCCTCCTACTCTTGCCAATGAAATCTCCCTCTTGGCAAAATCACCCCCAGATTTAATTTCTATGCTGATGGCGCCCAGCTCTACACCGCCATTGATACCATGATTCCATCCTCACTCTCCACCCTCATATCCGGCTTGGATCTGATCCCATCGTGGATTGAGTTGTACGTTGCTCCAGATAAATGTTGGCAACACAATCAATATTTATTTTACATGCCAATATCGTCCGCAATAAAGTCGGCATCGGTGCATATTGCAGCAGAACGGGAATGGTGCAGGGAGCACAAAAATAAACCCATCACATAAGTGATTGTCATTGGCAAATAGGTCACATACAGCACAGTCGAGTTTCAGCGTGCACCTCTTAAACTCTGACATTAAGCTGGTGTAGAGTGTGCTAAACCTTGGAGGTGTCATTGACTCAGAGCTCTCATTTTCTTCCCAAACTAACTCAACTCTGCAGGACCTTATACCCCAATCTGCACATCTTCCGTGTCTGCCATTTCCTTACACAAGCTACCGCTCAGACCATAATCCTTGCCTTCTCCTGCATCTTTCTTCTCGACGGCCTCCCCACATCCCGCGTCACCAAACTCCGAATCATCAAAACACATTCACTGCCAGACGTCTCACCTGCACTCGTAAATGTAACCACATAATCCTATCAACACCATACTCCAATACTCTAATAGCTCCAATACTCTAATAGCTCCACTGGCTCTCAACCTGTTCACACTTAGAGACAGAGGGGGGACAAACGCGTGGATAAGAGAACAAATAAAAGTTAGAGATATCTTGTTGAGTGTTAAAGAGATAAGCTCGTGGGTTTTGGAAGGACGCATCTTTCTAAGGGATGATTGCCGATGGATTAAAATGGGCGATTGAGTGCCAGAACAAAGTTGGATTGTGGCATCGCAGAACCGCGCGGTTTTGGTGACAACATGGGAGGCCTTCATCCAGCTGTGGATGAATGATGGCTGCTGATGTTGATGACAATGGGTGCCGATTGCGTTATGCGGTTGTCTGAAATGGAGGCTCTGGCCTATGGTGTAGAGTGATGACAAAAATCCATGGCCCAGGATATGATGGCCATTCTTGGCTTTCAATGACAGCCGCAGACTTGTCAATCCCCCCCCCCTGCACCTTTATCTTTTACTCATACATTTGTTAAGTTACTTTAATCTTAAAAGTGGTATTTTATTAATGGCATCAAATGTCATGCGACAACAATGGCGCTACCTAAGAGAGGGTGGTGGAAGAACACAATGTGCGGATGTATAAAACAGATGTAAAAGCTGGCAATGCCATTGGAAATTGACGGCTTTGTTTACAAAGCGTCATGGGGATCCTTTGAACGTGTGGAAAGGCTTATTTACTGATGACTCAGATGTGCGGAAAAAACAATAATCATATCTGGGTTGGTATCTGCCACCCCATGAAAATAACACAACTTTTTCCCCCCTTGTACTAAAATAATAATTCCACTGAGGGACCTATTGACTCGAGATTCTTAGGACTGTCAGAAAACCCATTGTTTTGACTCCACGAGGGCTATAAATACGTGTGTATTTAAAGAAAGCACCAACTCATCAAATACAACAAATAGTGGAACCATGAATATCTCCAGAATTGGGGTTTACAGTGTATATCGAGGATGAGTTATTGAGAGTGAACCAAATTAAATGAATAAAGGAGTGGACAAGTGCAGGTTGGTTTGCCTTTGGCGGCTGATAAGATGGGCGATCTAAATGATCGTTGCAGAGCGTGGGAAGGACTTGAATAAGTCGGGTTTGAATTTAGAAAATGTTAATTACGGTGAAGACAATCGGTGTAGAGTGGCATGAAGAGCAAGGACAAGGGTTTACATGTTGAAGTTTTGACGTCCAAAGCACAGAGGTCAAAGCCTGTGTATTTCAACACCATCATCCCCACCCAGAAAACCTGTCACCCCAAAGTGCAGGAATTACAATCCTGAAAACACACCAGTACTACTGTAGTGACATATACTGTCACTATACTGTTAGCGCCAGCCACTATTTCTGGAGAGCTCCGGTAACCTCCCTAGGAGGCTTGAGGGACACTTGACCGGGAGCCGGGAGCTCCTGACTTGATACAGTGGGGGGCGTCGCCGAGGGCGGGGCGAGGCCGTCGCCATGGAAACAAAGGGGGGAGCCCCGAGAGTGATCGTGGTTCGTTGTGGGGATCATCTTGAGAAGCCGTCGTTCTTCGTACTTCGCTCCTCGTTCGTCGGTAAGTCTTCGCTGCGTATCGTGGGTCAGGCAGCGGTGTGTTGCTGGCTGGCCCGTCCGCTACAGTTAACTTACACGCACATAGCGGACAGTATAGCCACACCTGGCTATAGAATCCAGAGTGTTGAGAGTAGTTCTAGATTTGAAGCTTTCGTGACTGCAAGGATTCATACTCTTTGGTTTTTTCGGTAAAGTCACGTAGGTTAAAAGAAAACAAATACATTAAATCACAACGTTTCGGAGGCTTGTGTTGCCTCCGAAACGGAAGCTTGTGTTGCCTCCGAAACGTCGTGATTTAATTTATTTGTTTTCTTTTAACCTATGTTGAGAGTAGGTTGTTATTAAACTTGTTGCCTCCAAGTATAGTGTGTGCGCCTTTGTATTTCACACCACACTACTGTGGACAGCAATATTAAACGAGTGCTCAATTTATTTCCCAAATTGAAAATGCAGTGATATTGCCTTGAGACGCGGTGCAGAAATCTTCCCTTTAATTAAAATATACCCTCATGGTGCTCACATATGCTTTGCCTTATCAGCAGACGAGCACTTAAAATAGAAATATACTTAGTGTTTCAACACGACTACATTTCGCAAGAAAAAACTCACCGAGCCATCTCTCTACATGTTTCGGCACTTTCCTAATTACCAACATGTTTTTTAAATATTCCATTCAGTGGGTTGTTTTTTCATGCCAACCGCATGTAAATACCCCACTCGGCTGAGCACCTCCTGGAACACAGCCATGCGCTTAAGAAGAACAGCTCAGTAGCTGCCTTCTAATGTTGAAGACCTAGATGGACCAGTTAGCCAACAGGCCCACGGGAGATATTAATATTTCATGCTTGGATTATTCTGGTGGAGTGAGATGCTAAAAGGAATAAAATAACTAAATATCCACAATGACCGGCTGTGCTCAGTAGATGCTCTCCGTTGTAATGGCAGATATTGAAATAAAGGAGGTCTTGGAGTATCATATCGTAGTGGCAGCTCATTTCCTGACATGTGCCACCCTTGGGGTAGATTTGCTTATCTGTTTTATTGCATAGGTCTCGAAGGTCACTGGCCTCGCACTCACCAGAGGAGCAAACCTCATTTGATCAAAGAGAAATTGATCAATACTCCAATTCAGGTATGCTGCTGACGGTGATTATGCCATACTGCATCTATCATATGTTATTGCTGCTCGCGTGCATTGCTTCTTGTATTATGTTATTTTACGTAATGCTCGTTAAATTATTATCTCCGTAAATCACTGTTGTAATGACGTTCAAGCCACGCATCCCTTGCAATGGCAATACAAATGGAAGGTTACTTTGAACTGACGCATTATATAAAAAATAATGACTAGCTTCCAATGTAATCACTTCAATAAACAATATTAGTATTCTTGGTTCTTTTGGTAAAGTCACGTAGAAGGGAAATAATAAAAAATAAAATAAAATTATATAAATATATTATTATTTTATATTTTTATTATTTTATTATTTCCCTTCTACGTGACTTTACCGAAAGAACCAAGAATATGAATCCTGCAGTCACGAAAGCTTTAAATAAAAAAAAATATTAGTATTATACATTAAGCATATTGTACGATACTAAAGTGTCTCTTTGAAGCAGTGCTCCTCTCTATTGGCAGCCTTGAGACACTAATGTAAATGCAACCTTTTCTTGGCAGGTACTAGAGGGTACATGGTTATAATGTATCAGATGCAAAACTAGGTATTAACTTCGATTATATATAATTATGTATTAACTTTACGCTACATTAACTGCCCATTTTAAGAAAGAAAAAAACATTTCCGTTTTGTGATTGGCCTGCCACCACATCAATTTAAAAAAAATCAATGTATTTATTTTGTCACACAGACATATATATAACTCAAACAACATACAATAAAACAAGGGAGGCGAGCCAGTAGGCTTGACTCACAGTGCCTCGTGAGGCCAGAGGAAAACAACGGCAGCACTTTATTTCTCGTATTGATCATATGATTGCCTGTTGACCCCTAACGGAGAAAGGTGTGAGAGAGATTTCAGTCTCAGAAGCCAGGCTTTGTACAAATCACCCACCGCGCCACAAGCCACGCGCACCAGTGGGGACGCGGGTGAACCCCATAAGCTGTTGGGTGTCGCACACGCGGCCGTTATTCACCGCTCAGCACTTTGTTGACGCCACCCACCCCGTCTACCGCTGGCCACGCCGATGGCGCAATACGCCGGAGCATCAAGGGCAGAACGCGCGCGTTATTTATAGCTTCCCTCTACAAGGGCACACCACCTTACACTTGCCCTGTGCGGACATGCCTCAATGTCTCGATATTATCACGCCAAAAAATAAATATAATGCCCAACATTGTGTATCTATATATGACGTGTATAGTGTATTGATTTTCCCCGTATCAATATTTAAAGAATGTGTGATGTTATTTCAAAGGGTATGTGAATGATGTGGCATTATTTAAAGGCAATGGTTTTCTTTTTCTTGCAGCATTTTCACCCGGCAGGGTCGGAGGCAGCTCCAGCAAAGAACAGCCTCTTAAAAGAGCAAACAGAAATGTGGCAGAGTTTCAAACTCACGATGTGGTATCTAAAAGGCCGATATGAATTCCCGACGCAAATAAAGAGGCACGGGCCCCTTGTATTGGGTCAACTGTTCTGGAAAAACCTCACCGTAAAATAAACGAGAGCCAAACGATTATATGATGAACACTATCGTATTAAACTTCGCATCAAAAATCTATAATATGATAATCGTGACAAGGGGATGCTGCCGCGGTTAAACGGTGAGCCCGCTGGGCTCGCAATCCAGAGGCCCGCAGGTTTTACCTCCCAGCATGGCAGTTAAAATGACGGGCACATTCCTTAATCTCCCCCAACTCTATCCAAGCCGGCAGTGTAAGAGCGACAACGCAATGAGCCGACTGATAAGTCACACGTGATGGGGTAAAGTGTGGGTACTCCTAGCTCTTCTTAAGACGTCTGGCCAGCATAGCGGAGTAGGCCAATTGCTCTCTGTGGGAAGCTATTGAGCTTCAACTGGAGCGGAGGCCCTCCTGCCAGCAGTGACACGAGCAAGCAAGTGCAGGGCTGCGTTTGTGCGACCACATTCAAGTGGTCCATCATTGAGGTTTTTGTGGGTTAGATCGAGTACATATAAATGTGTCGTTAAACCCGCCACCACCCGACACAGCCAATGAGTAAGATTTGTCACGTAAACAGAGCGTGCAACGGCGTGTTTGAGAATAAACCCACAACATTTACAATTCGAGTCACGTGACGTTTCGCCGGTAATTACAACCAGCCTCATCAGGCAGAGTTGTGGAGAAATCCTCCTCGTGTTTCGTTCTCAAGCAGAGGGATGTTTATGACTTCTGAGTCAATCAGGTGCCAGGACAAGAGGGGGTTCATGTATTCATATAAATCACAATGTATATGTATTATTAGTTGGGTTATTCACAGTTAATGAACATAATGTATGTACACTATGCATGTATATTATTGTATATTATTTGTGTACATTCTGCCGTTTTCTTTAGTTTAACGACACATTCATATTTACCCGCTCGAAACCCATGTTGTCTATTATGGATAATAATGGCCATGAAAGCCTACGTGTTAAACTCACATTTTAATGGTGATTAGTGATACGCAACGGTACCAATGAGAGCTCTGTCCATAATGCCCTGGGGAGTGTTTTCCATCAAACACGCTGCGTTCAACGGAGCACTGACCTCCTCTCGGCATCTCGGGTCATGTCAGCAATTGCGGATCGCCATGCACCGACGGCCAAGGCTATTGCTCTGCAGTCGCCACAAACCAATGGGCGCCAGCTTCAGGCGACAACACAGCCGACACAGGTTTCTCTTATTTTCTTCTTCACACTTACATTTTCGTTGGCGAGTCGCAGTTTCTAAATGGAAGCGACCATTGGCGAAACCGCCGTCGTCGTCGTCGTCCGCATCGTCTTGTTTGCGTGAAGTGGCTGCCAAGGACTGACTCGCTGACCTTTCACGTGGCTTAGCTAGAGGGGGGAAATATTAGCCCTCATGAAACACAATGCATGGAAACACAAGGAACCCCAATGTCCTGGGGAGGTCGCTCAGCAACTGATAGAGTTATGAAAATGAGGTCACTGCATTTGAAATAACAGCAAGCCTGTGTATTGTAAAAACATGGTGTTTGCTCCGTCTCTGTGTGCTTGGTGTGTTTGTGCCATCGCCACGACCAGGTAGCGCGTAGATTAATATCTGCATTTCTTGTGGATGCTTTTTTTCCATGCAGTTGAGGCTTTTGCAAGCTCACGAATTGCTGCAAAATATGAGTGAGTTGTATTATTGTTTTTGTAGCCGTGGTTCGAAAACGAATCAAACTGGGGACGGAGGCAATGTCGGCGTCTTGTTTGTACTCCCCATTCGTTCAATTCAATTATCTCCTGTTTTCCTCACGGAGATATACCACGATCAAAATTGCATTCAAATTGCAACGGTATTCAATAGAAAAGTGGCACGGTGCCAAATATTACACGCTCCATTATGTCAAACAGGTTATGCCAATGGATTCGTGGTATTACTTGTGGTCTTATTTCATCAGGAACTCTATTGAATTCGCCTGGAAGCAAATGCAGAATACGTTCAATTGATTGCCTCTTACTACTGTGGACATTTATTATATTAAACAAACCTGTCGAGTATTATATAAAGCTACTAGCTTTACTACCCGGCTTCGCCCGAGACTTGGATTATTCCTTGTAGATTTGAAGTTTTCGTGACTGCAAGGGGCCATACTCTTTGGGTTTTTTTAGGTAAAGTCACGTAGGTAAAAAATAAAATAAAAATAAATAAAATCACGACATTTCGGAGGCAACACAAGCTTCCGTCTTCAGGTGGCACCGTCACTGGATACAGTAATTTTGCTGTGACTTTACCGAAAAATCCAAAGAGTATGAGTACTTGGATTCTTGTCTTGGATTAATACACGGCCTACACGGAGGGTGGGGGTACGTGCCGTCAGCAGGCACACTGCGTGACACTGCCGCATGCGGGTGACATCACAGATGTGACGTCACCGCTCACTTGCCGTGCAAAATATATCCATTATTGCGCCCCCCCCCCCCCCCCCCCAAATACAAAAGTCTATTTTTATACGTTTTGCCTTGTGTACAGTCTGGTAGCTACCCACATGCCAAATTTCAAGTTTGTTGCATGTCGGGAAGTATGCTAAACATTTCGAAAAGCCGCACATATTCACAAATGTCCCATTTATATGAAGCTATCTAAAATATAAACGTGTTGCGTCTGCCCTTGTGTCACGCACAACACAAGGGCAGTGTTGAAGCTGCATTCTCATGATAATTATTTGAATTAGCATAACATTCAAGGTTCCTCGTCTACACGGACAGTATACACCAGGGGTCGGGAACCTTTTTGACTGGGAGAGCCATAAAAGCCAAATATTTCTAAATATATTTCATTGAGAGCCATATAGTATTTTTAACGTATAATAAATTAAATATGTCTTACTTTTAATGCGACTTCTGGTGCTGCATGGTTTTGCTGATGGCCTTGTAGTCTGGTTCGTACGACTTGGTGAGGTTGAGCTTCGTGCAGGCGTGACCCGTGAAATTTATCTTCAAAACTAATTTCTGTTTACTTTAAAATGACACAGTATTATTAAACAATATCACAAGTATTTTAAAATCAGTTCCAAACTGATTTTTTGTTATTATTATTATTTTTTCCAACTCAAAATTGTCTGGGAGCCATATGCCGTCACCGGAAGAGCCATATATGGCTCGCGAGCCATAGGTTCCCGACCGCTGGTATACACCATCACCTCCTTTTTATGCCATATTTTGCAATGCACCCGATGTGCCATCTGCAATCCCCTCTTCAACAATCTTCACCAAATATTCACAATCAATAGAGCACCTACACGTCTTGACAATTAGTCTTGTGAATGTCCATGGCTGTGTCTGTCACAAACAAAGCTAATTCGGATGAGTGCATAACACATGCCGACTGGACATCTGTAAAAAATTGCTTCATAGCTCATCGGATTCCTCCAGTATAAATACATATTTAGATTCTGATTCATGCCAGAAAGACTCTATGCAAGTCATTGTTAAATCACTGTTTGAGCCCTCACGGCCCATCCTACAACGTGTAAAGGTTATTGCTCATCATCGAGGCACGATTAATGAAAGACCCAGTAATATTCGCTAAATAAATCAAGTGGAAATCAGCAAGCCACACGGTGGGGGCGGGCACCTGACAACAGGTTGACATTAACTGGGCGGTGAAAACCGGGAGGCCGCAAAGATGTAAACCTTGGAAATCGGAACAAATGGAGAGATGAAACCAAAAAAATTTCTCAGGTCACGACTTGACACCAAAAACAATTAGAAGAAAATGGGGGGGAGGCCTTTTACCGGCAGCGGGAAGCTACAGACTGATAATTACTGCAACAACTGCAACAAGCACCTAATTGACGATGCCAAATTAAAAAGTGTGTACAGTCGTAACAGGAATAAATCATAATATTACTAATCTCGTCTGGCAGAAAACCTGAATCTCAATGATAATGTTGCGAGTTCAAATTAGGAGTCAAAGGTCATGTAAGCCAATCGTGCCCAATCGTGCCATCCTGGGTCAGCTCAGAGACAAAATGACGATAAATGTTGTGGGAAGTCAGCAGTGATTGGCCTATGGAGAGACGAGTACCTGCCAAAGGATGTAAAAGTCCCAACACTGGCTTATGACCACCAAATTAAATTAACATTATTTCAGAATGGCGCACCTTTTTTACGTGTTGACAACAACCACATCATTCACAACTACAACATATACACCTGCTTTACAATGTTATATTTGAAGAAGTATGGGGGGTGGGGGTTCTCTCCTAACGTCTCTCTCCCTTCTTGGACCCCACCATCTACACTTGGTGCTCCCACGAGACACCAAAGAGCAGACAACCGACATCATCTCCCACACGAAAAGGTCAACTTTCATTTGTTAGCCCCGCATCCTGCAATGTACATTCCTCACCGCTTACTCACTCTAGCCCCCTTTAAATCGCACACACCTTTGTCAATGCCTCCATCCCATTGGCTACTGTTCACCGAGCTCTCAACACCGTTGCTGTCGCTCGCATTCCTAACACTCCTTGCAAGCTTCCACATCATTTATAACCTCCCTTTCCATGGAAAAGTCCTTGGAAAGGTAATTTGCTTTTCAATCACCTATCTCTCAATAACCTTGATGACCCACTTCAATCTGGCTCCTGTCTGGGACAATGAACTGAAACGGTCCTCCTCGTGTTCAGTTCGTGACCTTCTTCCCTCTGAGCCTCTCCGAGACGTCACTCGTTCCTGTCACGTGACGAGTCATCCAATAACTCGCAAATACCTGCATTACTGTGATGACGTATTTGGCACAATTCAGTCCTAGTTCCGCACATTTTTCCACCTGCTCTCGATGTCTCCTTGAAAGGGCGTTGCTCCTTTTCATAAACCTCGAGGCTGTAATGTTCCTCAAGGTTTTATCCTTGGTCCACTCATCTATATTGATCCCTTCGCAATTAATATCCGGATTCAATATCAAACTATCATTTCTATGAGAATGACACCCAACTATACGTTGCCAACGATGCCACTGATCCTCCATTATCAATTATGTAATCCTCCCTTGACTCTTGTCCCAAACTGGATCATTTCAAGTGTTCTGCTGATAAATGTTTATAAAATATCAGGTCGACATCTGATATTACACTTCCTATGAATGTCTGCAACTTTGACGTTATCTCTGAATCCGTTTTATTTATTTCCTCACACTATCTACATCACGGAATATGTTACCCACATCTGCATACTATATAGGGACTTACATTGAATTCACTTTTGGATTATATTGCACCCAATTTTATGCGTGATCAACACCGGGCCAGATCTGGATCAGGTGACTGGATTCATTTTTTACAAGAAAATAAACCCAATGGTGAAGAATAAGACTTCTACTCTTTAGCATCGGAATCGGTGGATGTTATTGGAGTGACATTTGGATTAAATAATTGATTCTTTGACTGCATTGTCGCGCTGTGGTGCATAGCTGCGATCCGGCACTTTAGGCTGATGGATCACATGGCATACTGGCATGGCCCATGTGTTTTATTGTATGATCTTATTCGTATTATAATAACGCGTCTGAATGTGCTGCTTATGTGTATACACTTGCGCTGTACTGTAAGTTGACATGCTCATGATATGTAAAACTGATTATTATTTTTGTAAATATACCATCATGTATCATAACATGACATCTGACTTATGTCAGGAAACTCTTATTCAGTATATCCTTTTGTTATTCGTCGATGCGAGTAACAAACATTCAGCCGTAAGCGTTTATTCACCCACGGAGGTGCAGTCAATAAGCCGGTGCTATTGTAATCTCTTGAACACGTATTACTTTCTAAAGAAAACAAACAAAAACGAGTCATTTGTAGTGCAACTGGCACCTCCAGTTTGCTCGGCACTTATAATGAAAGTGTCAGTTTGGTTCATGGGTTATTAGTCACATGAGCAGACACATTTCCTAAAAAAAACTTCATTGGTAAATAATTGTAAGGAAATAGAAAATATAATCAAAATAAGATTATAATGAAGGATTGTTATTAATTGTTTTAGCATCTTAGAAAGCATAATGTATTTTTAATTCGATTAAAAGTTAATTTGGGAACCAATATGCAATTGCAATAACAGAAACAGAATAAAGTTGCACTTTCAGCGTGGAACGCTTTTGCCTCTTAATTAACTTTTACATTAATAGTAAACGCATTAGTTACGTCCACTTTCGATGTTTCTAAATTGGACAAAGGACCATGATTCGATTGATGCTCATTTGTAAACTGTGATAGGAACGAACTATAATTACTACAGCTCGTATCACGATCAGCCTTCACAAGCGTCAAGTCATCACAACCCAGAAGTTCCGTACCAAAGCTTTGCTTTAATACCATCTCTCGTATCTCGCAGACACCCTCAAATACCAAATATGCGTGCTTAACAACAGACTGAGCTCATACTCAAGATGCTATTGCTGCAGACGTTTACCTTTTAGTACAGCGGTTATTGTACTTATTATTGCAATCTGTATTTAACCGATAATTGTCAATTCATATCACATTACCACTTCATGTGAAGTCAACAGTTATTGTTGTTGATGTTCGATAAGAAGAGACTGGCTCTTCACCAAGGGAATGAGGGAAGGAATTTCCACCACTGCCTCACCATGGAGAGGCCCTCACCATGGCAATGCAACATTACCACCGCTGCCTCACCATGGCAATGCAACATTACCACCGCTGGCACGGGACCATCAATAGGGGTGGCACAATGGGCGGTGCATTTTATTATTGCAGAGATCTTTAAATCAACAGTGCGCAACTCAACACTTCTGTTACACAGTCCGTTGTCAAATTCATTTCTGCGATGTAAAACTACATGGAGCAGAGCATGATTAACACTCCATGCGTAGAGAATGAAGCCGTGAGATATATATATCATCTTGTGTTTTTTGACATTTGTATATCTCTCTTAGGAGTACTGAAAACAGATGCTGGCTTCTTGCTCTCTCTGCTCATTTTGTTCTCTCTCTCTCTCTCTGACTTCTGCTCACTCCATCACTTGCTTATTTAACGTCTCCCCAACTTCACTTGTTTCCCGAGAGCCTTGTATACACCTGGCAGCTTGCGTTCATGCATCTCCGACTACACCCCCTGCCTTTGCTGAGTCTGCACTCCCCTACTTTAACAAAGTAAAAACACCATTGGAACCTCATTTGCCAGTAGCAAAATATGATAATTGTTTTTTTACCCTTTTTTCTGGAAACAAAACTGACACATTTTTTACAAGGAGTCATTTTTGCATTGACCACAATACCTGCAGTCGGAATGCAAAGAAAAAACTCTGATAGTGCATACATTATCAGAGTTATGTTTTTTGATAGTGCATACATTATCTGAGTTATGCTTTTTGTTTGCATTCCGACCGCAGGTATTGTGGTCAATGCAAACATGACTCCTTGTTAAAAAAAAGTGTCAGTTTTGTTGCCAGATAAAAGGGTAAAAAAACAATCATCAAAGTAAAAACAACTAAATTAAAAATTAGGATGGGTTATTTTATTCCATCATTCTTTAAAATTTGCACTATGTAGTGTCGGCTCAAGATGCGAGAGAAAAAAGCCATGTGGCAGCACATGGAAACGTTTTGTTTTGCACCGATAGGAAATAAAAACCAACACGTTTGCAGGTCACGTCATTCACTTCCACCGACTCCTGCAGTTTGAATGTGCCCATGCAACAGCAAGTTTTACATTTGCAGTGTAGAAAACGCAGCCCAAGGCGGTCGCAGGCATTAATGCTGCACCGTGTTGCACTGTCACAATAATGGCAAAATATGACTGATTGCCGTGCAATTTCGTTTCCAGGCGTTTAGTCGGAGCCGTCAAAGCAGCTGAAGAACTTGAACGTCAACCAAGGGTCGCGGGGTCCCTGGGGACAAGCGTCGGTCAGACAAGAGACAGCAAAAGCCTTCAAAAAATGTGATCGACCGAGGCCCGCAAATGCGGAATAACAGAAAGAGAGAGAGCGGTAGAGCCTCACTATCCCAGTGTCCGCACCGCGTTCTTCAGCTAAGTGAAAAACACGACTTGAGCTATGAACAGTTAACCAACGAACAGCCAATCACTCTATAAACAAACGTAAAAATTACTCTTAAAATGTACGCATCCATCCAGAGCACTCGACTCACCGTCGGATGGTTTGAATCATGTTTTTCACTGGCCATGCAACACTGGCCAGCTGATTGACACGTGAAGCTCTGGGTCTTCTCAGCTACTGCCATTCCCTTCTCTACCCCCTTTGGCTGCTAAATGCGAGCCACGTTATAATGAGCACCTGCACCGACTTGAAACATTCAGGCTATTCTACCTGGGTTTAAGCAGTTCACAGATCATTGAAAGATGTGAAGTCCCATCACTGTGCTCCTCCAGCGGGAGAGGATGCGTTGGCTTTCGTGTGGGTTTTTTTATGATGTTTGAACCTCTGTACCAACCACACCCCCAAAGCGCGATTGACGCGATTTCACAAGACAGCGGAAATTGTCCGTGTATATAGTGGGAACTTTCCGCCGTTGCTATGCACTGCCTTAACCCCGCTCTGTAATCCTGCCCCGCTTTGGACCGTCCCGTGTGATTGCAGCAGCATGAGCTCTTGTGGGTGCGACATTGATCCCACAGGGAATCAATACATGTGGAATGGGGCCCGATCTTCTCTGAGAAATGATATATGAATTGGGCCTTTTAACTTCATTGAAGTCTACTTTAAATTGTATGAGCAGTTCATGGGGCAATGCTCGTCCATGCGCTGTGCCTCCACAATTGAGTGGTCTCATTAAATTGCGTCATGTTTGCCGTTGAGTCAACGGGAAGGCTTAAATAATACACAAACCTTTCAAGACAGCATATTACACAGCCCATTGCCAGCACCTGTGATCCGTTACAACGAATTGCTCGGTGTGCACAAGTACACAGTGGCAATGCTCGAGTTTAAATCGTACACCGTGTTGCTCATACACAGAGCAATTGTGTGCATCGTACACTTCACCAATGTTTCATACGGAAACCTCGTGACGCTACGCACTCACCTCAAGCACATTTGCCAATAACACTGTGGCCTTAAGAGGAAAAATATCTATGAGCCAACGTTTCAGGCAAAGGCCTTCTTCACAGAGTGGATAAGGGTTGGACACTGCAATTTACAATCCTGGAGCCTGGTGAGAATTAAATTTTGAAACTCTTTCGTGATAGCCAGTTATTTGTTTAATTGGCATATGAATAGTTACCTAAGAGTAGCTATGGAGTAGCCAGATAGTTGGCCCATGAGGAGGTTCATCACACTACCAGTGTCCAGAAAGATGCAAACTCTAATCCCTTTGGAGAGACCTGCGGCAGAAGTGGCTTTGCCAGAAATTGAGGGTGGTATTCAAGCACTGATTCGTGGTCGTTCTGCTGTACGGGAAGAACGTATGTGTTAATAATGGGCCATTTCATCATGAAGGGCATATCTTAATTAGGGGCTATAGCAGAATTCGGCTGAGAGCTGCCCAGGGCTAAGCTCCGTAAATTATTTATGGCGGAATGGGATTTACAGATGAAATGTGGTTTTCTGATAATATGAGGGAAAAATAACGCTCATGTATTGGGGTTAAGTGTATGAAAATCCTGTGCAGAAAGGATTGACCAATCAGCTGCCTGTTGTGCTATCTTATTTAAATATGAAATGTTTGTCATGATTAAGCAAAATAAATGCATCACGAATATAAACTGATGTTTTCATCGGTATTGGTTGATCTGTTATTGAGCACTGGGGCAGTCTCTCACCTTAAAATCCCCTTAAATTAATAATAAATATGTAATAACATGTTCATTTCGTTTCATATATATATATTTTGGCAATTGCCCGTCAAAGTATTTCACTCAAAACAAGTGGCCACTTTCAGTCATTGTTCATTGGTGGCATTTTGTAAATAAATTTCGGAGACACCTGAATCCAGGCGAATCGCAGTACGGGGTGGCACGGAACGCGACGTGGAGTTCCATAAAGTGGCGGAGATTGTGGCACAGCGGACTGCCGGCGTACGGTTTTAACCATTTTCCTCGCTAAATACGCTCGTAATTTGTACATCTGGTTTCGGGTTTTTTTTTTGGAGGGGGCGGGTGGATTTGAAAATTATGGGTGGGTAGGTTGAGTTCATAATTCAGTGGTGTAAAAGCGCGCGTAAAAGAGTGCGCATGTCGGGTGTATAGGTGGAATTACGTGATAAACATTTGGGAAGATATCTGGTGGTCATTTTTAAATCTAGAAATAATGACAACCCAAAGCTGCCAGAATTAATGTCATAAGAGCTGTATGTTTATTAACAGTTACAAACAACTCGTGCAATTTGAAACCATACAAAATAAAACCAGTCTAGAACATTGTGGTGGATCAAATTGATGTTCTAACTGCCAATAAAAGGCTGCATCATATGCAATAGTTATTTCTATTTGTGAGTATGGCAGCAATATTTTCAGGAGGTGAATGCCAATGTCGAGGTCTGCTGGCCACGAGAGGGCTTCAGGAGAGAGTTCGTGTCGTTTTGATTTTCCTCCTCTGTGATGGAGCGCAGGCCACAGTGGGTGTCTACGTACAGTACATGTGCGTGCGGGCGTACAGTATATGTGCGTGCGTACATTGAACTTCTTTCACACCGTACATAGCCAACCGTGCTCATCGGAGGTGTGAGGAGAAAAACAACAAACTAAACACTGCCACAAGCAGCAGTTGTCAATAAATAGGGTTTCAATCTGGATTATTAAATAAGTATAACCCGTAAAAACAAAGTTTTTCACTCTAAATCCTTTATATGCGTGGCGGCTAGAGTCCTCTCGTCCTCTGGCTTGAGATGGCTGCCACCTATGGGTCAGATGATTGTCTGCAGTATTAAACAATTGGTAATTAAATATTTAATTTGTTTTCCCTAAACAGGGTAAAATTTTTGAAAAAAGAATTTCACGAACATTAATTGTCTCGCACAACGAGTCTGTGTGCAAAATGTCAGCTCGATTGGATCATGGGAAGTGGGTTAAAAAACGACCGAAAGGTTTGCACGGTCGTAAGCAAGCAAGCAAGCACGCAAGCAAGCAAGCACGCAAGCAAGCAAGCGAACTTAATATAAAGGATTTAAAAAGGCCACACTTAGAGATGCGCTACAAGGCCTGTGTAGTAGTTTCTACATCTGTGAGAGAGAGAGCTTTAGATGTCATCGGATACCTCCAGGATTAATAAATACATATTCAGATTCTGTTATTGGCTTTAAGAGTTCATATTAAAAACAGGTTGTTATTTTTTTTAAAGCAACTGGAGTATGTGCTGACTCGTCATCATCACTCGTGATAAATACGTACGAACGGTGATATTTGCACGTGTTTTCAGGTGCCATTTTTACATTGGCAATAAATGATGCATCAGATTACATTTTTAGTGAGGTCCCTGAAAAACTAATAGGGTCATTAAATATATTGTCATACAATATTGCACGTCTGAGGGGAATTTATATTACAACAGAACATTTGTATTAAATTCATATTGTATGGAACTAAATTTAATATAATATTCTTTACATATGCATGATATTGCAGCTATATATTTCTCTAAAGTTTCTAACTCGTATAAACCGTATTTAAGATGGATTTTGAAATGGTCTCAAACTAAACTTTCCAAGATAATATTGTTCGGTTGAGTATATTTTGAATTACCCTGTAAGCCAAGAAGCTCTGTAAAAACATGATAAACTACACACAGCATTTGCCCATAAGCAAATGATAGCCATGTGTGTAAAAATATACGGTGTAAAATGATACATAAAATAAATAAGTAGGTTTTCAAGATTCATTAATTTGTTTAAATCAAACATTTAGATGCCTTCCTGCACACACAAAAAGTCCTTCCGCGTTCATATTTTCCTTTCTGTTGCCTTGAATGATTGCCTCATACGTCCCAAGTAATCGCATACAGACAATCACAAGGCTGATGTTCACCAAAGTTGCATCCTGAAAACACAAAAGCAACTGTTCTGTCCTTCTTGGTTCTTTCGGTCAAGTCACGTAGAAGGAAAATAATAAAATAATAAAAATAAAACATAATAAAATAATTCTCACGACGTTTCGGCCACAACACAAGCAGCCGTCTTCAGGTGAAGACCAGGTCTGTCGAGAAGGCAGAGTCTGACTTTACCGAAAGAACCAAGAAGATAAATCCCTGCAGTCACGAAAGCTTTAAATCGAAATGTTCTGTCCTTCTTGTTGGAGCCCATTTTTAAAGAGAAGAGTGGCATGGACATTGTCGGAAGGATTATTACTGCTGAAAATAGGACCACTTAATTCGGTATGATTACTCTGTATTGATAACAAACGTGACAGCTATGCATTGAGATACAGCGGTTGTTTGTTTCATATACCTCTGGAAACCTTTTGGAGAAAACTTCAAGGTTTGTGAGATTTTATTTCACAGGAATATTGCAGAATTGTGATTTTTTTTGACGTTTGCTGTTAACGAAGGAAAATAATCTATTTTGAGGGGGGGGGATAAGTTTTGAAGCTCGGTTTGCTGCCAGTTTCAAAATATATCTTCTTCAGCCAAAAATGATAAGAAACACATCATCATATAGAGAAAAGCGTTATTATGAAGCTGCAATAACCCAAGAAATTAAATCCGACAAGAATGAATAAACCTACACACAAGCGATATGCACAACACATCACGCCAATGTCAAGTTTATGCTGCGACATCGATATACACAAATGTCAGTGTGAGCCAGTCCTGAGAATGCGCAGAACAGAAATGTTTTCGGCAGGCTTGTCAAGATAAAGAGTGTTTTTGTTGTTGTTGTTGAATGACATTCAAGAGGTCTTGAAGAGGTCTTGAATGTCCAATATGAATGTAATTGAAGAGGGGCTCTTTATGTATCTCCAGTACAATGTGGGTGTCCTTCAGACATCGTGGTCTGCATTCATTGCAAATAGGGTTATAAACTTGCCTTGAAGCCCTGTATAAATATCAGACTGGACACACAGCCATGTCCCAACATTTGCAGTCAAGGGTTGAAAATTTGAGCACCACATAAATTCAATGGGCACAAAGAATGCGAGTTTAATGTTTGCAGTGAGTTGTATTCAGACACTGCGTCTGTGTTAAAAGTAGCAAAAATCAAGGGTTTGATAATAACATTTGTATACAGCCTACGAATTGGCATGCATGTCGGTGAAGTTGCCCAAGACAAAGACAAATATCCCCCTCCCGGTATAGCATGAACAGACTTTTGGGGCAAGTGCTGTTAGCGTGCACCTATGAAGGCCGACACGGCATACGAGGTGGTGGGTGGCCAGCACCACGCCAGCCACCTTTGTCTCCCGAGTGGCTATGTTTACACAATG